ATTGAGCACTCGAGTAGGTTGTGGTCGAGTACACTGCATTATCGAGAGCGATCTCGACATATGCAGAGTCGTCGCGCCCAACCTGCCAACGAAGACCGACGACCTATCTCATAGCACCAACCATGGCTGGACTACTCGAGAAAAGGTTGTTAACGGATAATTCCTCGCGAACGCCGTCGGCTTGATCACCCGACATGATTGCGAACGGACATCCGGATATGCTATAAGTTGGGTGTGTGAGTCATGCTGGCCACATGAGATGCACATGTAATAAACCAACTTTAGCGTCTCCATTGGTGTTCGAGAGATAATTCTACACGTTCGCTGGTCCTCGAACTAGTATGTAGCACTCTCTCTCTCGCACCGCAACTTTCATTGGTGTTCGTGAGATGATTCTACTCGCTCGCTGGTCCTCGAACCAGTACGTAGCAATCTCTCGCACCGCAACTTCCATTGGTGTTTGAGAGATGATTCTACTCGCTCGCTGGTTCTCGAACCAGTACGTAGCAATCTCTCGCACCGCAACTCCCATTGGTGTTTGAGAGATGATTCTACTCGCTCGCTGGTTCTCGAACCAGTACGTAGCAATCTCCCGCACCGCAACTCCCATTGGTGTTCGAGAGATGATTCTACTCGCTCGCTGGTTCTCGAACCAGTACGTAGCAATCTCCCGCACCGCAACTTCCATTGGTGTTCGAGAGATGATTCTACTCGCTCGCTGGTTCTAGAACCAGTATGTAGCAATCTCCCGCACCGCAACTTCCATTAGTGTTCGAGAGATGATTCTAATCGCTCGCTGGTCCTCGAACCAGTGCGTAGCAATCTCTCGCACCCCAACCTCCATTGGTGTTCGAGAGATGATTCTACTCGCTCGCTGGTCCTCGAACTAGTACGTAGCAATCTCCCGCACCGCAAACTCAGATGGTCGAGGTACGACTACAACAATAACACAGCGGTCCTCGCACCACGACTTCAAATGATCGAGAGACACCTACTCACTGGTTCTCAACCAGTCAATCGTAGCGATCTCTCGTACATTTACTTCTAGTGGTTGAGTTACGACTACTACCTGGTTCTCGACCAGAGGTGTAGCGATTCTCCCATTACCTCTACTCCAACAGAGTTGATATCAAGTGCACAATATCGCCAAGTGTTTTACCCAGAGATCCCTTACCACAAAGACACCTAGCGTTCAAACCTATTCTAATGTCCCTTTACGCCGTCTTGACAAGGCCTCCTAGGAACCTAAGGGAACTTCGGCTGGGGACGCCCAGAGCGGATAAGGTCTTGTCGGATCCTTTAGAGACGAAAGACCATGTAAGATCTGGTCGTGTAAGAGTTCTCACCGTGCGTATTAACCAAACCGTATAATCGGAAATGGATTTTCCAACTTCACGGCTGGGGACTAGGAGCCTAGGATCAGTGCTTGTTCAACCGAGGCAGGTCAAAGGTCCAAGAGCCTTATTCTCCGAGAACGATTCTCCGACGACAAGGCTGGGGGCTAGGGAGAGTGTATAACTCAACAAACTGACTGATCGAAGTCGGTAAAAGAGTAGACGCTCATATACAAAACATTGGTCTGAAAATTCTATTCGACATTATCGAAGACTCCATGTCTCTATGGTTCTACTCCAAGATCGACTAAAGTGATTATGACAAATGTTGACAAGGATTCATCGCAGATTCTACGCCTTCTCGATCGCTCGAGAACGGTTGGTGGATCTCGACAAGGAATACGGAATAAAGAAATGGTGTACCCGCCGAGATAAAATTTTTGACTTCAATCCAAATTCTCGATTACAGCAAGACGGGAGACTTAGTCGTATGCTCTGTACTTTCTTGGTTGACGTCAGAGATTGACTCAGACAAACCCTTTAGGTGCCCGCACGAGGCTGATAAAGGAAGTCTAACGTTATCTCTGAACTCACCGAGAACGGTCACGTGAGCTCGATAATAGTTACTCCAAGGTCTGCGGTTGAGAATATGAACTCATTCATTTGCATTGAAGTCGGGGGCAACTGTCAGGGTTATGGATACCACATACCTCATAGTAGTTGACTAAATCTCGGCAGGACCCACCACATACCATGTCCTATACGGAAACAACCCGCAGATATAGGAGGAGTTCCAGATAAGGAAAGACAACCAGAGTTCTACATGGAAACGACAAGGACTACTCGGATTGTATCCATATTGGTTTCCCTAGTTCTACTTGGACAAGGGGACACCTATGGGTATAAATACAAGTCCCCCTAGGAGGAGGGGGGACACGACCGCCTCAATGGACACACCCACGACCGCCTCAATGGACACACCCACCATAGAATACATGAAACAATAGATCAATACAGAAGATCGACATACAAGCCAACATATGCCAAGACAAGACGCCGGATATTGACTTCAGGGATAAGCACGGCTAGTCCCCTACGGTGTCTCCGGATACTGTCAGGAGAGACGAAAGCGTTATCTCTGATCTCGCTGGGCACGAACTCGAGGAGGAAGACTACCCTGTTGTCGACTACGAGTCAGAACTTCAGACCGCCATGTCGACAACAGTTAGATAGGCTACCCCAAATATTGTACTGGTGTGATTATGGTGAATAAGAGCAATACCGGCTTCGGCCAACAGGATGTAGGGCTATTACCTGACAATTCAGGGGCTCGAACCTGTATAAAAATCCTCGCCTCCGTCTCTTTTACCTCAGTCTCGCGTATATCCTAGTACCAACGATCCCCATACTATGCAAATACCGGAATCGCGACATCAAACATCGACAGACCCACATGTCAGCGGGTGGCGGTTTAGAAAAGATCAAACAAATATGCAGGGCCCATATGTCATCACCCATCTTCTCCCCTTGCCTTCTTTATCTTCACATCTTCTCTCCCGAGCTCGTTGGTCTCTTGTCTAGGGTTGGTAACAGGGTGGGTCGGGCCCGGGTTGGACAGGAACAGCCCCGCCTCTGACTCCCGCCTTCTCCACCCGCCCTATCCCCGATGTTCAAAGCAGGGAAAAATCAGCCCCTGCCCTGCCTCGGGCCCTCTGGGGTCCCGCACCCAACCGGGGCACCGCATGGACGCAGCAAGCCGGCGGGAGGCGAGCAGCAGTGGGCGGTACACCGAGAAGCATACAGGAGGCGACACTGGCGAGAATGGCATAGATAAGACACTGATAGGAGATGTCATGCTACAACACCGTGAGGAGGCAGCAAACGAAACTCTAGGTCACCAGCAGATGAATAGAAAGGAAAAGAAGATGGGAATTTGTCTTGATGGAGGGAGAGCCGGAGAGGAGATCGAGGTGTCGAGAGGAGCCGAGGTGAAGTGCTGAACATAATTTCTCTTAATTTCAGGGCGGATTTCGGGTCATCCACAGGTCATTTTCTATCCATGGCCTCGGCACCGGAAATTGTCAGGGCCCCGACCCGCCCACCCCGCGGGTGAGAAAGCAGAGCCGACCCTAATCCATAGGGGCGGGTACCTGTCAGGTCGCCGCTTCCTATGGGAAATTGCCACCCCTACTCCTGTCTCCCCTCATCCATCCTGGCCACCTCGGCGTCTCCTCCCATTAGCGTAGCGGCTACAGTGCAGCCAAAGCTAAAGCACTGTCGCCGCCGCCACCCCTAGCTCCCACGTCCTGTATCTCATGCCGATGGATGCAACACACTCGTCTCTCTCAGGGCCTTATACCGATGGGAGTCAACACCGAGGAAAGAATGAGAACCCCTTTGAATCGCAGGATTGAGAAAACGTAGGAATATGAAAATCATAGGATTTTGATAGGAATTACAAAACACAGGAAAAACACATGAATGATCGTTTGATTGAACCGCAGGAAAAACACAGGAATTGGATGAGGGCCCCTTTGAATCACAGGAATGGAAAAACGGAGGAATAGAAAAAATACAGGATTCTGATAGGAATGCAAGTGTAAAACAAAGGATTGCAAAACATAGGAAAAACGTAGGAATGATCGTTTGATTGGACCACAGGAAAAACACAGGAATTTGAGGAGAGATAAAGACTCAAAGGATTTTTTCCATGAGGTTCTACCTCAAAATTCCTCCAAAACTTGTATGGGAAGATGCATTCCATAGGAATTTCATATGATTCCATAGGGTTCATTCCTTTGATTCAAAGGTCTTTGTAGGAAAAATTCCTATAGGAATGAAATCCTCTAAAATTCCTATGAATTTCCTTTGAATCAAAGGGGGCCTGAGAGAGATAGACTAAAAGAAAAGTTACCAAGAGGTTGAATCTCTTGCTAAATTTTCTACAAAATCTCTATAGGGTTGTCCATTCCATAGGAGTTTCAAAGGATTGAATATGATTCAATCCTTTATTTCAAAGGGCATCATAGGAAATTTTCCTATAGGATTGAAATCCTCCAAAATTCCTATGTTTTTCCTCCAATTTAAAGGGGCCCTGAGAGGAGGCTAGGAGAGCTCGGGAGAGAAGATGGGTAGGATACAAGGGGATGAGAAGATGGGTATTGACATGTAGCCCCCACATATTTGTTTTAATTTTTTCTAATCGCCCACCTACTGACATATTGGTCGCATTGATAGTTTTAATTTTTTTCTTCTATTGCAACATATATATATATATATATATATATATATATATATATATATATATATAAGCGTCACATAAGAGAAAGACCAAGTAAAAAAGACACTTAAGCGCTAGTACATCATTAAAAATCGGCTACAACTAAGGGACGTAATTTAATTTACACCAGTTTTAGAAATTGGGTAATAACCTATACCCGGTTTTTCGGTTCTGAGATATGATTAAACTCAAGTATAGTTGAGGGACGTAAATTGGACTTTTTTTTGACACGCAAAAATGTGGTACTCATACTACTGGTAGTAACATCTTGTGAGGGAGGAATATACTTTCTCTAAGTGTACAATCTTCTTCTCGCTGAAGTAACATCAAAGGGAAGAAGTGTTCCTCTCTCTCTCTCTGTCTCTATCGCAACAAGTCAAACGTGCGTGAGCTCTATAGTTGTCACTTAGCGCCCCAAGTGAAATAGGAAACGAAACCGTCGCCAGCCAAGTAGCCAACTATACCACGAAATAATGGAGACGTTCACCGCCGACGACCAGCGGGACGCCGACGCGCCGCGGCCGCCGCGCGTCGTGCTGCTTGCCAGCCCCGGCGCCGGCCACCTCATCCCGCTGGCCGAGCTGGCGCGGTGGCTCGCCGACCACCACGGCGTCGCGCCCACGCTCGTCACCTTCGCCGACCTCGAACACCCCGACGCGCGCTCCGCCGTGCTGTCCTCGCTCCCGGCCACCGTCGCCACCGCCACGCTGCCGGCGGTGCCCCTCGACGACCTCCCCGCCGACGCCGGACTGGAGAGGACGCTGTTCGAGGTCGTCCACCGCTCCCTCCCGAACCTCCGTGCGCTGCTCCGGTCCGCGGCGTCGCTGGCCGCGCTTGTCCCGGACATCTTCTGCGCCGCGGCGCTGCCCGTCGCCGCCGAGCTCGGGGTCCCGGGCTACGTCTTCGTACCCACTAGCCTCGCCGCGCTATCTTTGATGCGCCGGACCGTGGAGCTGCACGACGGTGCTGCCGCCGGCGAGCAACGCGCCCTCCCGGACCCTCTCGAGCTTCCCGGCGGCGTGTCGCTGCGGAACGCGGAGGTGCCCCGCGGTTTCAGGGACAGCACCACGCCGGTGTACGGGCAGCTCCTCGCGACAGGCCGGCTGTACCGCCGCGCCGCCGGCTTCTTGGCGAACAGTTTCTACGAGCTGGAGCCGGCCGCCGTGGAGGAGTTCAAGAAGGCGGCGGAGAGAGGGACGTTCCCGCCGGCTTACCCGGTGGGCCCGTTCGTCCGGTCGAGCTCCGACGAGGCCGGCGAGTCGGCGTGCTTGGAGTGGCTGGATCTCCAGCCGGCAGGGTCGGTGGTGTTCGTCTCCTTCGGGAGCGCCGGCACGCTGTCCGTCGAGCAGACGCGCGAGCTCGCCGCCGGGCTGGAGATGAGCGGCCACAGGTTCCTCTGGGTTGTGCGCATGCCAAGCTTCAACGGCGAGTCTTTCGCCTTCGGGAAAGGCGCCGGCGACGAAGACGACCACCGTGTCCACGACGATCCACTGGCGTGGCTCCCCGACGGGTTCTTGGAGAGGACGAGCGGCCGGGGCCTCGCCGTCGCGGCGTGGGCGCCGCAGGTGCGCGTGCTGTCGCACCCCGCGACGGCGGCGTTCGTGTCGCACTGCGGGTGGAACTCGACGCTGGAGAGCGTGGCCGCCGGCGTGCCGATGATCGCGTGGCCGCTGCATGCGGAGCAGACGGTGAACGCCGTCGTCCTAGAAGAGTCCGTGGGGGTGGCCGTTCGGCCGCGCTCGTGGGAGGAGGATGACGTCATCGGCGGCGCGGTTGTAACGCGTGAGGAGATCGCGGCGGCGGTGAAGGAGGTGATGGAGGGGGAGAAGGGGCGTGGCATGCGGCGGCGGGCGAGGGAGCTGCAGCAGGCGGGTGGTCGGGTGTGGTCGCCGGAGGGGTCGTCGCGGCGGGCGCTGGAGGAGGTCGCCGGCAAGTGGAAGGCGGCGGCGACGGCGACGGCGCACAAGTAAACGACCGTAGATGCAGGGGATTGTCGTGTCATCGTGCGTTGTTTCCGTGACGTTTTGACTTTTCAGTAGAGGAAACTATTTTAAACTAGATAGTAAAATATGCTACTGTTGTTTGCACGTTGTTTAAGTGATTATAAAAAAATAAATTAATATGTAATATATCACTCCATAACAATAGAGATAAAATTTAACTTTTATAAGTTAGAACGAAAGTATTAAATTTGACGATGAATATGTGTTATATTTTTTTTACTTATAAAAGATTATTTTAAAATTATATGGTTGTAGCGTGATCTATCACGTATTAATATATATTTTTTTAAAAAATATAACAGGTAAATAACGAGAGAAACTCCCGTCCCTCAATAGTTTAACATAATATTTTTATACCATAATAGTTAACTCCACTCCTGCTTTTCAGTTGTATATATAATAATAAAGGTGGTGACCTGTCTTGTACACTGGCACTGAAACTGTGTTCAGAACGTAACCGGCCAGGCTAGGCTTGTTTGTTGACAACTTGACATGGCACACGATGACCTCTTCCTCGTGCACAGCCTGCAACCTGTTAATCAGTGATTAGTGTCCACAATATATTCTCTTTGCTAGTTCCACTAATAAGGCCATGCGTTCATGCCCAATACACCACCATAAACAGTAATTATAAACATATATGTTGCAGCCGAGTATAGATGGCCAAACAGGCAGCACGGCCCAAGCACGGCCCGCCGTGCCGAGGTTAGTCGGGCTGGCACGGTCCGACCTACACTCCGGGTCGTGCCGTGCCAGCCCACAGGCCACACACACGGCCCAGGCATGGCCCAACATGACTCGGGCCGTGTCGGGCCGGCCCGAAGGCACAGCGGTTAATCGTGCTTTTCCATAGAATAAGTCTATTTTACATCCCTTAACTCTGTGGGCTGGGTCCATATGGCTGGAAAATAAGTCTATTTTGTATTCCTCTCATCTTTGAGCCCTGTCTGATATGGTTCATTAAGTATATTTTGTGTCCCTCAACTTTTTTTATTCGGTCGTGCCGTGCCGGGCCGGCCTATCGTGCCAAGGGTGCGGCCCAGGCACAGCCCGGCTGTCGGGCCGGGCCGGCACGGGCATGACCCCAAGTCGGGCCGTGTCGTGCTTGGGCCGGGCCAAATTGGCGTGCCTTGGGCCGGGCCACGGGCCTTGGGCCATATGGCTATCTATAGAGCCGAGCGCCCGTTGCAGTGCAGTGGGAGCTAAGGGACTACGGCGCCACTGCTTGGAGACATGAGTTGAGTGAGTCCAAAGAGGAAATAAAAGCTTCAATTAGAAAAGGTGGTCTGGAAGGGGAAAAAGAGAGGAAAGGAGAAAAGGTGGGTGCACTTGGAGGTTGGAGATCGACAGCCGCCGTGTAGCTCATTACCCTTTGATATGCTGGCCTCGTCACCGGCCGACTAGCTCACGACAGCCGGATCTTACGAGCTCGCATCCAGATCCGGTGACGAAGGGGAGCTCACTGTCCTCGCTCCCGTCATGGCCCTTCTCATCGGTAGAGAGGGAAGGTTTTTGTCCTCACTTCTATCGTGGCACGTCTTGTCGGTAGAGAAAGGAACTCACTGTCCTCACTACCGCCGTGGATTCTCTCTTAGATGAAGGGGAGAGGTAGCTCGAGCTCGTCGAATAGGATGGGGTAGAAAAATATACAGTGGGAGAGGCTAACAGTGGAACCATGTGAAGGTTGAGGGTACCCATGTACTTTTTTTTCATAAGGTCCAAAATGTAAATATTGATAATAAGTTATATTATAAGGGCTAACACACAAATAAGTAGGGATTGTGTAGGATCTAATCACAATAACTAAGCCAACCAAAGGGGGAGGGGTGAATGGTTGGTATACCCAAAAACCGAAAACTTTTAGCGGAAATAAAAGTTACCATCGAATTCGACGGATCACGATCTGACCTAAGTTGTCCTGCCGGTCGTCGGTCTGATCGAGATTAGATCTCCGGTCTGACCGCCGAGATCAGCTGCCGCTTGCTGTCGCCGCCGCCGGTCTGACCGTCTCGCCACCGCCGGTCTGACCGCCGCTTGCCGTCGGTTTGACCGCCGGTATATCTCACTCCTTACAAAAATTTCGACTAAACTCGAAACCCTAACGCAAAACTCAACTCTCAATTGCTTTCAAAAGCGATACTGGGAAGCCTCACGCTCCCCCTCTATTTATACCCGAGGTAGGCAACCTAAAGCCACGAACCAAACTCATACTAAGAGTCCTAAACACATTAGGAAACCCTCTAGTACAAGAAACAAACTTTACATAACCAATCATATTAAATTCGGACTCCTTTCAAATTTGACTCCGCATCCCATACGCAGACAATACCTCCATCGTATGCCATATGGAATCTCCATCAACCACGTGCATCAACTCTAGCCTAAGTATCCCGCATGATCTCTGACCACCACGGACGTCGTCTTATCCCCAAGCCGACTCCCGGTCCATCACCGCAAATACTCTCCCGAGGCATCGAGTCACCTACAAATGAAATAAATAAAGAAACCATATTCCGAGACCAAGCTATCTCCAACTTGACTCATTAGTAGCAAACAACAGTATTACATACGTATAGTATCCATCTAGAAGCCATAATCATGAAACAATCACGGATATCCAAACAAACAACCCGAAACCGAAACCGACACAGAGTCGGCCGGTCAGACCGCGGGCTGGCCGGTCTGACCGGCACACATTGCCCGGTCTGACCGGTCACATGAAATAACAATGGTACCTGTATATTCACCTGTAAAATCCAATCATCTCCAAAAACCACTTCAAAAATAAATTCCAAATAACAAAACCAATAATCTCCGATGCCAATTATTCATCACAGAATAATAATAAAAACACCTTTGATTTTACAGATTGAAACATAAAATTTACTTTCGCGTGGTTTCCATTATGAGTGGTTTGACTTTTGTGTGATTCTATCCTATATGTCATGTTGAGATAACTGATAGCATTGACCTTCGTCGTATATGGCCTAAGAAACTCGGTGCTCTAGCTCTGGATTGTTAGACAATATTTGTCTTGAGCGATGGAGCGTGAGTTACTCAAACTTTAGAAAAGAAAGAGTAATTTGTACTAATGGGAAAAAAAGATGGAAGTAATCCATAGTTCCATAAAAGGTGGGAAAGTACACAAAACGATTAAATAAAGATGATTTTATTTTTATTAATTTTTTTTACAAAGACAAATAATGCAAAACACAAAAAACATTATTATGGACGAAACTTTACTCTTTTGAGTAAAGTTTACTGCCGGTTTCTAAACTTGTTTGTTCGTGTCATCCAGGTTCTAAAACTCTCACAATGCATTTTTAAGTCATCGAACTTATCAAATTGTGTTATTTTGGTCTCAAATTGCCGTTAAATATAAGATATCACCTGTGACGGGTCTATATGGACCAGTTAGAGATGTTCTTTGTCAGGTCTACAATGGACCTGTTTACAGATGAGGCCTTACCTGTGACGGGTCGTATCCTTGAGCCTCATCCAGAATGGATATCTTATCAAAGATGAATTTCTTTAATATTTAGAGCAGTGGTTTTTACATGAAACTCACAATATCCTACGTGGTGCTCACGTGGCATATGATTGTCATGTTTTTTAAACTACTAAATTGTGCATTTCATGTAAAAACTATTGCTCTAAAATATTAAAGAAATTCATTTTCAAGTTTATAATAATTAAAACTCAGTTATTTTTGTGTTAACAGTTTTCTCGTTTTACTTGTTCTTACTTAACCATTAATCTTTATCTATCATAGTGCTAACTCAGTTTGGTCGCACTACACCATATCAGCCTATCAGTGACGACCCACCTGTCTGGGTCAAAGTGACCCGTCACTAGTGACCTCATCTCTAACAGGTTAAACTGTAGCCCATTCTGGATGAGGCTCAAGGATACGACCCGTCACAGGTAAGGCGTCATATGTAAACGGGTCCATTGTAGACCTGATAAAGAACATCACTAACGGGCCCATATATAGTCATGTGTGCTGACGGAAAACATGGCAGCCTGGGAGATTTGCTCCACTCTAATGTAGGTTCAAGGCTTGCATCGAGTATCAAGAGCGTGCCAGTTGGTTTGATCCTGCAACCAGTAAGAAAGACAAAAAAAACATAATTAGATGAACGATAGCTGATCGGCTGATATGGCTGATGATGTATCGTCGGGACCTAGCCGATACAGGTAAACCTAATCGGCTGCGGCAATATGATAGTCAATCAGATCAAAAACCCTAAATACGCTCTATCGGTTGTAATACTATCTCTTTGGGTTTTATCAATTGTTTTAAGACATTATTATAGAAATAGCTGACATATCAGTATTTAGAGCAAAGATAGATAATGTACTAGCTAATACTCCAATACAAACTTAGATAAATAAATTAATCTATATAAACATACCAAACATCAATTGATCACCATGTATGAAGTTTCAAGCGAGATCAATCTAACTTGATGTATTTATATAAAGCAATCTATCTATATAAGTGGAAAATATACATAAAAAGATCATAAAACATGCGCTATCATGTATATTAGGTAAGATCGGCTGAAACCCGGATACTATTCCTAATTATGATTAATTCTAGGTTAGTTTATATGATTCTAAGCACGGCTAGGCATGATGGATCGCAAAGTATGCAAAGAAGCATAAAGTCTAAACAATCGAGAAATTAACCACTTTTCAGGATGGTGGATACCTTAGCTAATCTAATCTAGTAAAGCAATTTAGCCGATACCGACATAAACCCTAAATCGAGAAACAGTAGATATGACTAAATTGAGACACTAAGACTAGATTATCTAAGATATATGATAACAATGGTCACAATAGAAGGACTAATACATCTAAAACAACATAATAGACCCGATAGCACAAGCCATCGAGACAGGTTACCTCTTGCCTAGAGATCATAGCCGATGCCTTGACTTGAAGCAAGAACTCATCGAAAAGTAAAAGAAAAGGGTGGCGACATATTCCTGTAGTATTTTCCATGCTTCCGGGATCGTCTCATCCTTCGTTTGCTGAAAGCTGGAAATTCTTCCACGAAAGGCGTTGGTTTTGCCCGTCAGGAAGAATTTTGCGTGGAACACGATTGAGCATTGGTTCCAGGTATCAACTGTAGCATGGTTGGCATAAAACCACTGTTTCGCTCTCCCAAGGAGGGAGAACGGGAA